CTCCTCCTCCTCCTCCTGTCGATTGTAAGGCCCACTTTAGGCCTGGGCACTGTCCCTTAGCTCTTCAGCTCAAGGCTACCACCCTACCACTTGAGCCACAGTGCCACTTCTGGCTTTTTCTGCTTATGTAGAGCTGAGGAATTGAACCCAGGGCCTCATGCATGCAAGGCAAGCACTCTACCATTGAGCCACCTTCCTAGCCCTTTTTTCTTTTTTTGAGACAAGGTCTTGTTAATTTTTTTGGTTTAGGTTGGCTTCAAACTATGATTCCTAAACTATGATTTAAAAAAAAAAATCTGTTTCCAGAATTGCTGAGATTACGTTTTTTCTGTAGTCTTGACATGGTCTTTCAGAAAGTGAAGTGTTTTTTTTTTTTATTTTGATGAAATCTAATTTTTTTTTTTTTGGTTGGTCATGGGTCTTGAACTCTGGGCCTGGGCGCTGTCCCTCAGCTCTTCAGCTCAAGGCAAGCGCTCTACTGCTTGAGCTACAGTGCCACTTCCGGTTTTTCTAGTGGCTTGTTGGAGATTGGAGTCTCACAGTCTTTCCTGCCCGGGCTGGCTTTGAACTGAGATCCTCAGATCTCAGCCTCCTGAGTAGCTAGTATTACAGGCGTGAGCCACTGGCGCCCAGCTTGAAATCTAATTTTTATTTCTTTATGAATCATACTTTTGGTATCAAATCTGTAAATTCTTTGTGTAGCTACAGCTCCTGAAGGTATAAAACTTGAACTGAGATTCTTTTCTTCTTACCTGTAGATGTCCAATTGTTCCAAACATTTGTTGACAATGACAAGCAGGTATAGGTCTATTTTTGGGTTCTCTGTTCTGTTCCTTTGACTTTTGTCTTTATTCGAGTACCATACAAGTTGGATTGTCATAGCTGTATAATGCCTTGAAATTGGGTAGAATGATTCCTCATACTTTATTCTTTTTCAGAGTAACTTTGGTTTTCTTATAAATTCTAGAACAATATAGTTTGTGTCTATAAAAATCCTTGCTGGGACTTTGATAAGAATTGCATGAAACTTTTGTACCAATTTGGGAAAAAAAACTGACATCTTTACTATGTGAAATGTTCCAACTTATGACCACAATATGCACCTTCATGTATTTATTCTTGAACTATTTTCGTTATCATTATACAGTTTCCTATGCATGTGTGGTTATTTTGAACATAAGTATTATTTTTGAGTGATTGTCGATGACATTGTATTTTAATTTTATTACCCATGTGTTCACTGTTAGTATGTGAGAGTATTGTTGATTTTCATATGTTTATCTTGCATCCTGCAATCTTACTTTTTAGTTTTAAGATGCTTTTTGGTAGATTCCTTGAGATTTTCTACATACACTATCATGTCATTTGTTATTCTATTTGCTTTTCCT